TGTGGCTCCATCTTCTAAGTTCAAGTGTTAGACCTCTATAAAATTTATTTTGATATTTTAAAAATCTAGTTTTAATTTTGTCACAACAGTTGGCTAGTTCCTTGTCATTCGTTGAATTGCTCTCCTGCATGCATTTAGCATACAACTTTTATGGTAAAACTACATTTCCACGGGTTTGGCCTCAGTCAGATTGTTTTAATTGCCGCAGTTTCATGATATGTTTTCATATTTGGCTAAGCTGATCTCTCCTTTTTTCTGTTTTTCATGGTATGATTGCCTATTAGCTTTTTCCAGATGAATTTCAGAATCATTTGCAAGGCTGAAAAAAATATTTTAAAGCAATGCATAATAGTATTCACATATACTCAGAATATATGCCTTGTATAGTTTTTTTTGTCTCATGTTTCAAGCTGATGAGAATTTAATTTGTTCAGAATTCATGCTATTAAACTTAGGATGGGCTGGATATCAGAAGTGAGACCTTGTTGAGAAATGCACGTGAGAAGAGTTGGCATCCTTTGGCAGAGGATTTTGATTTAGGCTGGATATGCTCTAGAACTTTTTTTTTTTTTTTTTTTAAATTTTTTTTTTTTTCAACGTTTATTTATTTTTTGGGACAGAGACAGAGCATGAGCATGAACGGGAGGGGCAGAGAGGGAGACAGAATCGGAAACAGGCTCCAGGCTCTGAGCCATCAGCCCAGAGCCGATGGCGTGGGGCTTGAACTCACGGACATGAATCGCTGATCGTGACCTGGCTGAAGTCGGACGCAACAACCCATTCTGGCGCCACCCAGGCTCTGCCTGTTAGAACTTTTAGTGTCAGTGGGTGCTATATATTTCTGGATGCTGGCGTTTATACTTGAGGTGATGAACTACTGACGAGTTATCCTTAATCTTAACTGCCTGTTTTGGATGCAACTTGCAAGAGACACTAGATACAAAAAAAGCCTAAATTTTAGTCTTTCTTTTGCTACTAATGAGCCATTTAGTTCTTGATAAGTTAAACGGAGTTTCTGATCTTGTTCCCTCATCTGTTCAAGGAGCATAATCTGCACTCAATTCATTCACTCATCAGATAATACCTTATTTTCTGCCTACCTTTGGGAATTACTGTAAGGAACAAATAACAGAATTCTGGTAACATTTTTTTGTTTGAAAATGTTAAGTCCTGGTTAAGCATTGTTCCTTGAAAAAATTTTCATTTGCTTACCTCCAGTCCCCCTCCCCAAATCCCATCGAAAAGATGATAGGAAAAAAAAATTAAAGCCATAAGCCAGGAAGAGCAAAAAAAAAACAGGCCAGCAATTGCCATGAAGAAAAGAAATCGCAGAATTTTGGAGCTGAAAAGTAGAGCAGAAAAGCCAAAGCTCATTTGCAAGATGTAGTGAGGTGCCAGTTGAAGCAGTCCCAGTGCCATTCTGATGAGGCACCAGTGATCCAGAGCTGGGGCTTGAAAAGAGATGATGAATTGAAAGTCTGAATCGAGGACCTGGGACTTCAGTGAGCCCTCCTGCTCACATGCCAGCGCAATGTTGGAAAACGTGGTAAAGATGAGGGCTTCGGAGGAAGGTGATGTACTTGGGAGGGGTTGGGACTGGATGGGGAGTAAAGACATAAATCTTCTCCCATAGCAGGAAGTCAAGATATGTTTTTTAAAAGTTAAGACATAGAAAAAACTTTTTGCATGCTATTAAGAAGGAGGCACATGAGAGGTGAAACGATACACAGGAATTGGAAAGTGATTCTGGGAGGGGAGCCGGGGTGTCAGTTGGTTTACTGCCGATCTGCTCAGGTCACAGTCTCATGGTCGTGTGGGTTTGAGCCCACATTGAACGTGCTGACAGCTCAGAGTTCCGGGAGCCTGCTTGGGATCTGGCTGCCACTCCTCTGCCCCTCCTGCACTCACACTGGCTTCAGCCTTTCTCTCTTCTCTCAAAATAATTTATAAATACTGGTTTAAAAAAAAAAAAAGAGAAAGAAAGAAAGTGATTCTGTGGTTGATGGGGAGGACAGGAGCTTCTTCTTCTTTTTTTTTTTTTTTTTAAGTTTATTTATTTATTTTAAGAGACGAGCAGTGTGTGGGGTGGGGGAGTGGCAGAGACAGCAGGGGAGAGAGAGAATCCTAAGCAGGCTCTGGGCTGCCAGTGCAGCACCCAATGCGGGGCTTGAACTCAAGAACTGTGAGATCATGACCTGAGTCAAAATTAGTGGGTCACTTATCTGACTGAGCCACCCATGTGCCCCCTTTTATTTTTGTATAAGCCTTGGTAGTATTAAATTTTTTTTTTTCAACATTTTTTAAATTTATTTTTGGGACAGAGAGAGACAGAGCATGAACGGGGGAGGGGCAGAGAGAGAGGGAGACACAGAATCGAAACAGGCTCCAAGCTCTGAGCCATCAGCCAGAGCCCGACAAGCTCCAACTCCGACTGGCGAGATCGTGACCTGGCTGAAGTTGGACGCTTAACCGACTGCGCCACCCAGGCGCCCCTAAGCCTTGGTAGTATTAATAACTAGCACGTTGCTTGGTAGACTTTTAAAACTAGGTACATGTATTATAGTGACAAAAAATAAAATGAAATAAATGACTTCATGCCATTGTAGAAAAGTGAGTCTCTAGCACAAGGCTTGTAGAATAGTTAAGTGAATATTATTCAGTTATTTAGAAAACCCTTTTTCCCTTGTTGATGGTGCTAGATAGGAATTAGAATTAAATAGTGTGCTTTATGGATTGACAAGTAATATATGTGGAATATCACAGTATATAAAACCAGTCTCTTTATTTTGAGGACTATAGCATGTCAGAAGGCCTTTGAATAAAGTTAACAAAAATACAAAATGTCAGTCTGGACTTTGGATTTACTTTATACTTTTAATTAAGGAAGTTTTAGGGTTAAAAATACATGTGTTGGTATGTTTTTATCAAGACGTGTCAATATTTTCTCTACCAGAAAATTCTCTGACTCCGGCATTAATTTATGACACGGTCCTGATAACTCTCTTCCCTTTGCCTTTTTCTGTTTTTGAGAAGAGGTTAAAAATCAGTCTGCCTCAAGGGAGGCAGTTCAGTACTGGAGAAATCCTGGCACCTAGTTCTTTGGTTTAATATCAGAAACAGAGTAACAAAGTTTGGAAGTTGCCTCTTCTAAGAGAATAATTGGAATGTCAGAAGCAGAGATCTAGTTGTAGTAACATGATCTCCTACCTGAAGCAAAGTACCCCTCCAGGGAGTCCTGAGTTCTGCTGGTATTAGAAGTAACGAGTCAATAATCGGTAAGTTGGTTATTTTCCAGGATGAAGGATGTTTTACCAATGGAATTGTACTACAAAATTGAGTCCAACATTTATTTGCAAGTTACTATAAATTTTGGGGGAAAGAAATGCTAGAGAAATACCCGGAAATAGTACTGTGTGGCATTTCTTCAAGAACTAATTTGATTTTTCTTTGTAAGACACAGGTGAGTTTGACTCATATTGCCTATTGCCTTTTCCTCTGTGTATGTTGCACCTATTAGTCTAATATCTTGAGCATGCACACTGGCTTTTTAATCTTACGATTTTACACTCACAGAGCTATTGTTTGACTGAGGCACAATCATTTTTGCTACCTAGTTATATAAGAAAATTCACATGGAAATGGTACTTAAGTAAGAGTTTCAAAAATGAAATATTATACCAGCTAAGGTTAAATATGTAATTGATTTGGGTATCTTCTGTACAACCATGTTACTCGAAAGCCATATTTTAAAACTTTTATTGTTCTTAGAGTGAATTACTGGAATTTAACCGGCAGCAACAGGAGGAAGAGAGAACCAGAACCCACCAGGCTGAACACAAGAGGTATAAATGGCTAATAAAATTAGCATCTTTGGTTAAAACAATTACTTATAAAGTTTCTGCAGTTGTTTTAAGACATCACTATAGTTATATTGAATGTGTTTTAGAACCTGTATTACCTTTTTAATCTTTATATTATTGGGTATTATATGTATATGAGGATGCCCACTGTTACACGCGTGGGCGCGCGCGCGCGCGCACACACACACACACACACACACACACACACACACACAATGCAGTTTTTCTGGATAGGTGGCATAAATTCACACTAGAAAACAGAATCATGCTCTTAAGCTATTTATTTGGGTTATACTTAATTTGCCTCCCAGGGAACAAAGCATTTAATTTGAGATGATCCTTTACTGTTTGTAGACCATTTTAGAATAATTGAACTCATCCAGATGCTGAGATACTCATACGAAAGCTCAGACAAGAACTATCTTATATTGACTAACATATTGGGGAAAATAGCTTAAAATAGAACCACTAAGCAAATTTCAAGTACTCTCTGTCTTATTCCTAACACCCAGTAAAATATCATACTGATATTGGCCTGGTATACTGACTCACATTGGTATACTGATATGATAGATACCTGTCATATCTATCCTTATTCTAGGATTCTCCTGGGGGCACTTGGGTTATCCTAGTTTATTGCAGTGTGGTTGAAGATCTCAGAAGTATTTAATGTAGAGGCTCTCGAGATCTAAAGGAGCAAATTCTTTTTCTAAAACCGAGTGCTTTCACTTACAGGTTTAACCTTCCCACTGTTGCTAATGTGTGGTTTTAAATTGTGGTGCTTTCATTTTGTAATTGAGACTTTAAAAAGTGTTCACGGAAGCTCCCGATTCTGCTGAAGCTGTGAACTATGGATGGGTACTCATATTCTTTTGACTGGATTATTATTGTGCTTCCATAATCCAGTCAAAATAGTTTTAAAATGTCAAATGTGAATTTATATGTTTTTTTCCAATTAAAAGAAAACATCAAAACTCTGAGACACTGGTTAGGCTATTTTGTTAGGTAAGGGGTAACGGTTACTGCTACCTTTGTTTTTGTTTCTATTTTAATAAAGTAGGTTATAAACTAGCTTAGTCTCTTATTGGTTTTTCTCATTTTCTGTTTAAAATTCTTTCTATTAAAAAAACTAAATAGGGGCGCCTGGGTGGCTCAGTCGGTTAAGCATCCGACTTTGGCTCAGGTCATGATCTCACAGTTTGTGAGCTTGAGCCCTGTGTCGGGCTCTGTGCTGACAGCTCAGAGCCGGGAGCCTGCTTCGGGTTCTGGGTCTCCTCCTTTCTGTGCCCCTCCCATGCTCATGCTCTGTTTCTCTCTGTCTCTCAATAATAAATAAATAAACGTTAAAAAAATTTAAAACTAAATAGTGTATTTCTTTAACACCGGTTGTTAGTGGTAGCCAGTTATTTCTCTTTATTTCTCCCCCCCCCTTATTTCTCTTTATTTCTGAGGACTGATTGGATTGTAAAGCTTTAAACATCTTAAAGATAGTGTGATATGTCACATTAATAGGCCCTGTTGCTAAGAAATTCATCTTCAATGGGCCTCAGATAAAAATGCAAGTCATTTGATCAGAGGTGGAAAGGATTACTTTCTTGTTATAGGAAACTTGGCCCTCATTCTTTAAGTGTATTTCCATACTGCTGCATACCTAAATATTTGGGGGGGGGGACTATTTATTTTCTATACTTTATTTTCTCTTTTTATGGATTCTAGTTAAATATAGATACAAATTTAATAGGATATCTCTCTGGGCAATAAACTCAGTAACCAGTTTTGAGATAACTGATCAAGGTTTTACACACATATTTTATGTTCTTAATCAGTTTTTGAAGACAGTGTGTGTTTGTATTGGGCTTTAGAGTTTATAGTGAGCTTTCCCATATTATATGAAAATACTCATTTGGTAGTCTTATAACGAATAAAATGCTGTGACCATTTCTGCTGAGGGCAGCAACACTAACTGTGTGTGTGTGTGTGTGTGTGTGTGTGTGTGTGTGTGTGTGTGTGTGTGTGACGTAAGTTAGATTTTCTCCAGGGACATAATTTTATTGGAGTCAAAAAGACAATGTGCTTTCTACTGTTTAGAGGTGAGTTTTATAAGAGAAAGTTTATGGTATTCCTCACAAGTTTTTCAGTGTATCCAATACTGACTGAGCTTGGCTGCACCTGAACCTGACCCATCATAACTTTTTGAGTAAGAGAAGAAAGTTGAAACCTCAGAAAGAAAAGACAAAGCATGAGGGTCAAGGACTTGAAAGGATCTGGGCCATGAGCTGCAAACTGGAGTGAATTGAATCAATTTATTGAAACTTGAACCATCCTTAAGTAGATTTTATCCATATATATATATTTTTTAAATCTTTATTCACTTTTGAGAGAGAGAGTGTGAGCAGGGGAGGAGCAGAGAGAGAGGGAGAGACAGAATTCAAAGCAGGCTCCAGGCCCTGAGCTGGCAGCACAGAGCCTGACGCGGGGCTTGAACTCACGAACCGTGAGATCATGACCTGAGCCGAAGTCGGACGCTCAACCGACTGAGCCACCCAGGTGCCCCAGTTTTTATCGATATTAACCCTTAGAAGAAAATCCAGAGTACTGCAGAGTAGTGCAGAAAGGTCATGCACTTTCTAACGCTAGTAAACAAAACTATATAAACAGGTACTTTTTCTTTTGTTTGTTTTTCTTGATTCCTACTGAGAATTCAATCTCTTTAGTAAGTGATGTCCTCTTAGTAACTGGTGCTCAGAAGTGAATCATACCACTTGCTTACATGACAAGCCATCAGTCCTCCCAGTGTGTGAGCAAACTGAGAGCAGTGGACGACGGGCTGTTCTTCAGCTGGTACTCACCACCTTTGGGGGTTTCACGATGCAACTGCAGTCACAGAAGCAGACAGATGTGGGGACCACGCACCTGCATGATTCATGTATTCACCTTTTACATATCAAGGCACACTGTGTGAAGGCTTTGTTCTAGGCACTGGGAACAGGCGTAAAATAGCAGAGAACATCCCTGACTGCATGGAAATTACAATCGGGAGACGAGAAATAGAAGCCAACAGGTTGATAGCAGTGGTATTTCAGACAATGATATGTACCGTGAGGAACACATCCGGGGTGAGATTAAGGGAGAGATGGGAGGTCATAGTTCCTCCATGAAGAGGTAACATGAAAGGACGAGAGACCATCACATAGAGATTGGGGTCCAAAGTATACACTTAGATGTCCCCTGTCATCTGGTATGGGAGAAAATGCAAAGGCCCTAAAGTGGGAGTGACTTTGGAGTTTGAGTCTTTAGTGATTGGATTGTAGATGGTGAGGAAGAGAATACGGTGAAATGAGGTTGGCGGGAGCCAGGAAGCACAAGGTTTTGGAAGCCAGTGATTTTATTCTAAGACTAATGGGAAATCATAGGAGGGTTTTAAGCAAAAGGAAGGCATGATCTCTTTTATAATTTAGTCAGGTGGTTGTGTGGAGACCAAATTATAGAGGGTGGGAGTGGAAGCAAAAGCAAGGCCTGAGAGGATAATGATTTGGACTAGAATGATGGCCATGGAAAGAAATGGGTGAATTCAGGATGTGTTTAGCGGGTAGAGTCAACAAAACTTCTAGTGGTTTGGATGTGGGGTGGATGGGGGATGTGGAAGGAAAGCCCATCTTTGCTGACAAAAATACTAGATGAAAACAGTCCCAGGCACATGGGCAATCCAGAATACCCTTGGTTGTGTGGTTAAGGAGGATGAGGATCAGTTTTCTCTCTCTTTTCTTTTTCATCATGATAAGTGTACTCTTTAATCTCTATCATCTATTTTATCCATACCCCACCCACCTCCCCTGTGGCAACCATGTTTATTCGTGATAGTTAAGAGCTTGTTCCTTGGTTTTCCTCTCTCTCTCTCTCTCTCTCTCTCTCTCTCTCGGTCTCTCTTTTTCCCTTTGCTTGTTTTGTTTCTTAAATTCCACATATGAGTGAAATCACATGGTATTTGTCTTTCTCTGATTTATTTCTCTCGGCACTATAACTCTACCTCCATCCGTGTTGTTGCAAATGGCAAGATTTCATTCTTTTTGATGGCTGAATAATAGTCCCGTGTGTGTGTGTGTGTGTGTGTGTGTGTGTGTGTGTGTGTATACACATATGTGTGTGTATATGTGTGTGTGTATATATATATATATATATATATACACATATACACATACACATATACATATACATGTGTATACACACACACACACACACACACACACACACACACAACCTCTTTATCCATTCATCTATCAATGGACACTTGGGCTGCTTCCATAGTTTGGCTATTGTAAATAATACTTCAATAAACATAGGGGTTCATGTTTCCCTTTAAATTAGTGTTTTTGTATTCCTTGGGTGAATACCCAGTAGCACAATTACTGATCATAGGGGGTAGATCTACTTTTAAGGGTCGGATTTCTCTTAATATTCAGGTCTCTAGCTCAGTAACATACTGTTCAATCTGCATGCTGAGAAGTCTAGAAAAGGGGACATAAATATCATACTCTTCAGTGAACCAGGCTGACTAGAATATGGCACTTGGGTATACTTTATGGTGAGAGAGGAAAAAAGAAAAACCTTTCTAGCAGCTAAGATGGGACTACCACCTGATAGGTCTTGAAGTTGTTGAGAAAATAGCAACCCAGTAAGCCAGAGAGAGCATTCTGGGTCAACGTGCAGTTGGCATTTTAGCTAGCACTGAACATTTTAGCTAGGCACAAAACAAACCCAGCCTCTGGCTTTGCCACCCAGCAGTCATTATCCTCAAGGTTCCCAAATTCCCCAGTCATTGACTTATAGCCACCCACCATGACTACTTTCTGTTAATCTTCATGACTGAAAAGGAGGCTGTGAATGGGGCCTGCCTACCCTTCCTTCCATAAACATATACTGATCTGCTGCTATGCATCAGGCACTGTGTTTCTTTTCTTTTAAAATATTTTATTATTTTGGGGAGAGCACAAGTGGGGAAGGGGCAGAGAGAGGGGACAGAGGATCTGAAGCTGGGTCTGCACTGACAGGCTGACAGCAGTGAGCCAGATATGGGGCTTGAACTTACGAACTGCGAGGTCATGACTTGAGCTGAAGTTGGGTGCTCAACTGACTGAGCCGCCCAGGTGCGCCAGACCTGTTTCTGCCAAGAAGCTTGTGGTCTTAATGATGCTATTCCTTAAGAATCAGTTGATATCATAGGGTACCTATTACAGCATTGTTTCTTCAGCTTCCACGTCCCTGACTCAACAATACATGGGCAACTGAGAGCATGGTGTTGCCTTTAATTTACTTTTTTTTTTTTTTAAGTTTGTTTGTTTATTTTGAGATAGACACAGTATGAGTGGGGGAGGGAAGAGAGAGGGAGGGAGAATCCCAAGCAGGCTCCATGCGGCCAGCACAGAACCCAAAGTGGGGTCCGAACTCATGAATCATGAGATCATGAGCCAAAACCAAGAGCTGGATGCTTAACTGACTGAGCCATCCAGGCGCCCCTAATTTACATTTTTTAATTCAAAAGTTGTACTATGTAACACACAGGAAAGTCCATGGATTAATTATAGGGGGAGGCTCTAAGTAGCCAGCTCTAGAAGTAGAATACAACCATCGGTTGTATTCTGACCTTTATGATAATCATTTTCTTGCCTTTCCTTAAGGTGTCAACTCCTATGTGTTAAATTTAATTTTTGAAATCAGTTGCTGCAAGCATCACCAAACACTAGGGAAAGCTCTGCCCATTCTTTCTTTTGAAAGGTCGAGTTTCCCTCTTCTGATATTTCCCCTTTCTTATACTCTCTTCCCATTTTGCTTCTACTCTTCACTTACAGGATTTACTTTAGCAAGACTGACAGTGGGGTACAGGGCATACGGGAGGGACATCTGTGTTGCAGCAGCAATGCCACAGAGCTACTTCGGGTTCCCCTTCACGTTTTAGGTCTTGCTGAAGGTTCCGTCTTCCTTCAGCCTCCGGAGCTCACACCTGGCATGGCCCGCGAGGAGACAGTTGCTCGGGAACAAAGCTCTTGTTGAACTGGTAGAAGATGAGGGAATGAAGCTCTAAAGTTCAGAACTGTTCCCCCTCTGCCCACATCTGGCACCAGCTCCAGCCGATGGCTATTAACAGCCTGTCATATTGTCATATGGTTAATGTGAGAAGAAGTTTCTGTAGATTTCTTCTAAGCGGTGGGGGTAGGGGAAAGCAATCCCCACGGTCAGTTCATACAGCACCTTAGGTTCTCAAAAATCTCTCAGCCCTGTAGCACGCTTTCCACTTACACACATTTTTCATTGTTTTAAAGGGTAAATAATGCTTTTCTGGACCGACTCCAAGGCAAAAGTCAACCAGGTGGCTTCGAGCACTTTGGAGGCCATTGGAATATGAATAGTGGTAACAGCTGGGTGAGTTTTTTCTTGTCTCTTAAAAAAAAAATCTTTGAAAAGTAAAAACAATGAGAATTTTAAAAATATGTTGGGCCTTCTCCCAAGATATTATTTTTTTGGTGTGCTGTTCAGCTGTGTGATGGGCAGTCAGCCAGGGTGATTACTGTAAATTCCACAATAGTTTCTAGAGAGAAGGAGAAAGTCCAGGTTTCAGCTCTGGCCAATCACAATAAAAAATGACACCTGCCCTTTGCTCTCAGGGTAATTGCCTGGACTGTAAGGATTTTTTTTTATCACCCCTTTCCCAGACCCTACAACAAAAACAAATGAAAAAAAAATCTTCAAGAAGACTTTAAGTGCAATATGGTTATAAAAATAGTAAGCATTCTCTAGTAATATAGTCTTTCGGTGAAACGACCACATCAAAGAAACCAGTATTTAATTTTTCACTACAAAATGATTTTTAAAAAACCCTACAGCAAAAGGCACTTTCTGAAAATGAAATGTCTTTCTGGATTTCTGTGAAGAAATCATTGCAACTGTGTTGTAATATGTGTTTAATGTGTTTTGTGTGTACAATATATCATCGAACCCACACCAGATCTTCTGAATGTATGATTGCAGGGTTTGCAACGCGTACAGAATCAAAACTAACTATAGTGGGTTTTATAATTTAATTTAAGCCAAGTACATATGTACCTACTAAAAGAAATGGAACAGGTAGAAATCTTTAAACTGGTAAAATACAACAAAACAAGTGCTTGCTGGCCCGGAAACTCTAGAGATCACCCTTTAATAAATATTTGATGGACAAAAGATAATTTTTGAGAAGACAATCTGTTGGAAATCTTATGGATGTTTTCTTGAAAGGCGTTTAGTAGTTAAAATTGATGGATAGATCTAACAGTTCTCTTCAGTGTATACACTGGGCATGTCTTTCCATAGCGTGCCCACGTGTATCACTGTGGCATTGAGAATAGGGACAAGATGGAAGAACAAGAAAAGAATCAAAACACAGTATCTTTCCATCATGAATTACAATTTACAAATTATTGACTTCCTTGTAAGAATATGTGAGTAGGAGTCATGTGGAAAATGGGGCATTGTGAGTGAGTTTGAGACGTTATCCAAATTCGTGGAATTTGTATGTCGTGAAACGACTGGAAGTTTGATTTTGGACAGGACTTGGGAACTCTCTGCACGTTCTCTCCTCTACCTACCAACTCTCAAAATTTAGAAACTACTTAGAAAAATACCTGGGATTGAGGGGAGGATAATGGGAGAGAGTAAATGAATACCACATGGACTGCTGTTAAGGGAATGAGAATTTGGGAATCTGGTTCACCACCGACCATTGGTAGGCCTTATGGAAGTGAGCTATGACTCTCTGCTTAGATTCTTCATGGGTAAAAAGAAAGGAACACCATTTTCTCATGAGAGGAGTGAAGGCTATTAAAGTTTCCTTAGTAGGACAATCAGAACCAAGTCCAAAGTGGTTGTCGGCTCTTCCCTTACTTGAAGGAAGCTGTGACAAAGATGAGAGTTTCTTCAGGCTCCCGACTGCACCTCCCTATAGACATCCTTACCTATTTGCCTGTTTTTCCTTGGAGACCAGATTCTTACTCCTCCACCTACTGAGGGACTTTGCTCTAATGACACTCCCCTCTCTTCTGAATCATCAAATATTCATCTCAACTAGAAAATTCCCATCAGCATAAAATAGAGATACAAATTATATTGATATCCCCCTCCCTCTTGCTACTGTTCTATTTCTTTGTTCCTCTTTCAAGCACAACTCCAAGAGGTATCTGTCCTTCAGCTTTTCTAATTTCTTTGTTCCCATTTCGCTTACACTTATTTAAATCAGAATTTAGACCTTATCCATCCAACCATAATGCTCTTGTCATGGTCACTTACAATGTCCACATTACAGAGTCCGGTGGTTATTTTTCAATTTTCGTCTTTTGATGTACCAGCATCATTTGTCATGGCGAGTCATTCCCTCCTCTCTGAAACTGTTTACTTGGCTTCTGGGGCACTAGTCTGTCCTGAGTTTCCACCAACCTCAGTGGCTACTCCTTTTCATTCTCCTTTGCTGAATCCCCTGCATCTTGTCCTCTCACCATTGGAGCACCTCAGAGATCCACCTTGGACCGCCTTCTGAATTTTATGTTCACTTAATACCTTGGTGGCCTTATTGGTTACCATTACGTTAAATACAATTTTTGTGCTTATTACTCCCGTGTTTCTTTTTTTTTTTTTTTTTTTAATTTTTTAATGTTTATTTTTGAGAGAGAAGCAAGCACATGAGCAGGGGAGGAGCAGAAAGAGCAGGAGACACAGAATCTGAAGCAGGCTCCAGGCTCTGAGCTATCAGCACAGAGCCTGACCCAGGGCTTGAACTCGAGAACCACGAGATTATGACCTAGGCTGAAGTCAGACACTTAGCCGAATGAGCCACCCAGGCTCCCCTTAATACTCTCACATTTCTAATTCCAGCCTCTACCTCTTCCTTGACTCCAGATTTGCATTATTGATTTGTCCACACAACATCTCTACTTGTATGTCTAATGGACATTTCAACCTTCACATGTCTAAAACTTGGTAGGACGTGATTGTCCTACTAAGGAAACCTTTGGTCTGCTCTACCCAAAGGCTCTCCAAACATCTTTGCTGTTTATATAATGGTACAACCCATCTCACATCTCATAACTGATCCATCAACAGATCTTTTTTTTTCTTTTCCTTCAAAATATATACAATCCAGTAGCTTTTCACCACTTCCACTACTATTACCCTGCTTCTAACCTCCATTATGTTTATCTAGATTCTCGAAAAAGTCTCCAAGATGGTTTCATTGCTTCCACACTTAGCCACTTAGAACCTATTCTCAATATAAGAGTGATCCCTTTGGAGCAGAAGCCAGATCCTGTCACTTTCCTGCTTAAAATCCCCCAGTGGCTCCCATGACTCTCTAAATCCAATGGAGTGAAAGCCAAAGTCCATATAGTCACCTACGGGGTGCAACCTGATCTAGACCCCACTTTACCCCGCTGGTGCTCTCCTGCCACTGCCCTTCTTTCTTATTCCACTCAGCCATGCTAGTTTTCTTGCTTCTCTTTGAAAACTTAAGGACCTGGATGCTTTCACCTTAAGGCCTTTGCACTGGCTGCTCCTTCTGTACCTTTCTCCATATGATTTATTCTCCAAGCATTTTGTAGAATTCCACCCCATTGAGGTTTCCTTGGCCATTTATTTAATGCTGCCACCTGTGCCCTCATCCCTGGCTCTAGCCATACGTTTTCCAACCTCCACTTCCTTTTCTCTGGCACTCTGCAATTTCTTACATCTTTCTAATATTGTTTGCTTATATGTATTGTTGACTGTTTACTGTCAGTCTCTCCCTGTGATAATGCATGTTCCGTATTGTGTCAATCAGGGTCCTTTGATTGTTTTGCTCACTGATCTATCCCAAGCATAAAACAGTAATTGGAACTTAGCACAGGCACAAGGAAACAGGTGGCTGTGATTGAAGGTTGGCCAAACAACAAAGATTTAGGACCAAATGATTTGATATGCCAAAATGCTTAGATACCAAATTGAAAATAGCTATGTATAAAACATTCAATGGACCAAATTTTGGATTTGAGACAATAAGGGAAAACAAGAGACAAAGACAAACAAAAAGATTTGAAAAAAGAACAAAATAGAACTTCTAGGAATAAAGAAATTTAATCTTTGGAATTAAAGCACTCAATGAACTCATCACAATAAAAGGAATTCAGGGGCGCCTGGGTGGCGCAGTCGGTTAAGCGTCCGACTTCAGCCAGGTCACGATCTCGCGGTCCGGTCTGTGGGTTCGAGCCCCGCGTCAGGCTCTGGGCTGATGGCTCAGAGCCTGGAGCCTGTTTCCGATTCTGTGTCTCCCTCTCTCTCTGCCCCTCCCCCGTTCATGCTCTGTCTCTCTCTGTCCCAAAAATAAAAAAAAAAAAAAAATAAATAAAAAATAAAAAATAAAAAAAAAAAAAGGAATTCGAATTAGGAATTAAATCAAAATACCATTTCTCATCTATTATTTTGGCAAAAGAACAAAAATTTGGCAATATACTCTGTTGGCAAAGCTGTGGGGATAAAGGTTCATTCACACACTGTTGGTGAGAATTCAAAATGATGTAAACACTATCTAAATTAATTTGTCACTGTCTTTTCATAAAATAAAAACCAGACCTAGACATATTGCAGAAAAGTTGTACGAAATGTTGAAGGAACAGATAATTTCAAATGTCTAGAAAGTTTTCCAGATAAATGAAAAAAGAGAAAATATTCTCTCAAAGGATTAAGCAAGTGAATATAACTTGAATCAAAATTACACAAACACTATACAGAAAAAAATATATGTATGTAAGCTCACTCATAAACAGATTGAAAATATCACAAATTTTGACAGATTTATCACAAATTAAAAAACAAAACTGAGATGGTTTATCTCATAAATTATAGGAAAAATACCATATGATCATCTCAATAGATACAGGAAAAAGAAACAACTTGATAAATTTCAATACTCATTTGTGGTAAAAATTGCTAACAAAGGAGGAAGAGAAAGGACATTTCTTTAGCTAATAAACTGATTGAAATTCTGTAATAAAAATACATCAAAAGCATTTCCTTTAAATCATATATAAAGGTTGAAAGGAAAAGAAACATTTATAATTAATAGATGATACAATCATTTACTCAGAAAATCTGAAGGAATTGATATTTAAGTTATTAGAATAAACGAGGAGCCAACAATGTTGGTAGATGCAGGATCAATATGTAAAAACTCACTTCATTTTTATACATTGTGAATAAACAAAAAATTTAATAAAAAGATAAAACCAAAAATGCACATAACCTTTAAAAATATATATAAATTTTTTATAGAAAGACCCTAAGGAACAAATGAATGAAGAAGTTATACCTTGTTTAATGGGTAGAAATAGGAATGAGCTCTCAAATTATCTATAGATTTCATTAAATCCTAATCAAAGCAAAGAACCAAGAATAGCCAATTCACTCCTAAAGATAAAGAAATATGTATGGGGACTTAGTTAAATATTTTATATGGTCTGGAATTGGCCCAGGTGGACCCAGCCATTTCTGGAATTCTGATGTATGACAGAAGTCAGAGCACATTATTGGGGGAAGATGAACTCTTTAACAAATTGCTGGCGAGACAAATTGAGAACCCACATGGCATTGTAACCAGTTAATTCCAGGTGGATTAAGGCTTATAAGTAGAAATGAAGACTTTTTAGATTTTAGAATAGACTACAAAATTGAGGATTTTGTAAGACCCCAGTTATAAACCAAAAACTAATGATAAATATGCATTAAAATGAAACATCTGTTCATCAAAGGACACCGTACAAAAGAAAGAAGTCATATATGAAGATTTTGTAAATAAGTGGGCAAAATGTTAGTATACAGAGGTGTTTAGACTGTGTCATTTATTTAGAAGTTGGTTGCTGACACCTGAGCTACCCTGGGAATGATCGAGAGGAGCTCACAGATAGGGCTTGGAGGAAATACTGGAATCAGTAAAAGGCTCAAAAAGAAGAAAAGGAAGAAGGCAGAAAATATGACAAAACAATAATGAAAGCCAAAGAGAGAAAAACTTGATTTTTGAAACATCATATAAGCACTTAAGTAGCAGGCATTTAATAAGTATATTTTGGGTAGACAAATGAGATTGATCTTTATCTTTAAATCTTTAACATTTAAGTCACATTCTTCTCATATTGCTTTATATATATGTATTTTTTTCTTTGACAATTTAAAATTGCTGTTACATTTAAAAAAATTTTGGTTTTCTCGACCCCTCGACTTTTTTTTTTTTTTTTTTTTTTTTTTTTAACATTTATATTTATTTTTGGGACACAGAGAGACAGAGCATGAATGGGGGAGGGGCAGAGAGAGAGGGAGACACAGAATCGGAAACAGGCTCCAGGCTCTGAGCCATCAGCCCAGAGCCTGACGCGGGGCTCGAACTCACGGACCGCGAGATCGTGACCTGGCTGAAGTCGGACGCTTAACCGACTGCGCCACCCAGGCGCCCCTCGACTTTTCATGATGTACGTAGGGTAGGATGTTGAAAGAATCACTTCAAATTCTCTTTGATGTCAGTAGGTGAGACCCTTTGAAATGCTGTGGAACCCTAAATCCTATGTCTTCAAGGGCATTTGAGCATTTGCCATGACCTATGAGGCAACCTGAGATTTTAGTTTCCCAGAATGTTAGAACAGCAATAGTCTGAATGCCAAGTCTAACTTGGCCCCAGCATTCTGGTGGCCTGATGGAGAATTCTTGATCGTTTGCACATGGTAGGGGGCAGAAGGAACTCATTTAGTCCATCTCCCTAACTCAAGGTCGCCTTAGAAGTCAGCTTTCTGCTGTATAATATGGCGCCATTCTACTCCATACATTTCCATTTAAATTGTTCTGCTTCACACTGTGCTTGTCCTGTCCTTGCTGTAACTATGGAGGTGGGTGACAATATTTGCGAACACTATTATTTGTGACCTATGTTAGCCTATCTCTAAGAACACAGCTGATGAGCTGTCATTCAACAAGCCATTACATTGTTGACAGAGACTATTTTGTGAATCCAATGCAATGGGACTTGAAAATTAAAACATGTCACTGGGACATTAAATCATTAAAAAATAGGCATTAAACTCAATATAGTAAGAGTATTCTTTGAAGGAGCTTCAGATTGGACTTTAAAAGGTTTTGAATTTTGTTTTGCTGCTTGTACTAATTTTTGTTTTCTTTTGCTTCCAGGATGTATGAGAAATATTTACTTACATCTGTCCTTTGTCAACGGACCTTGAAGAACATCACTCAATGCTTTTCCTTCATGCTGCTTTGTTTATCCTTACTGTTTTCACCTTGACTTCAACTGCCCACTCACTCAGCTGAACACGTGGGAATGACCCGTTTTCCCCTGTCATTATTTACACGTGCTTGCAGGAGCTGATTGCTGAGCTCATACTTAATTTCTACTTCCAGTGAAATGTTGCACTGTTTTTCTCATTGGTTTCACATCTTATTGGAAGTATAATTACAGCCATGTTAGTAAGATGAAAAAGGAGGGAATCATTTGCTGCTTTCAGGTGTATAAGAGCTATACGGGTGCTACAGGCTTATCTCTCTGAGTAGCTAACTCTTACGTAATTCTCAGATCAGGTTTGGGGAATCTTGGGCATTTTTTTGGATTTTAAGCTCTACTTAATCCAGGGTACAAACTTGAGAAAAAGATAAAAAATAAATCTTTTATATTCTTTTGAACACACTTAAATAAATTTTGAAATACTTCTGTGTAAATGGTTTGTTTTATTTTTAATGAAAGGCTCTAGAGTTTTTCTCTCTTGATGGGTCTCATTTTTATATTCTTTGTAGTTCATATAGATTAATTGTAAGACCTTAATCACTATCGGATATGCCTTTGGTCTTGATTTACTTACTAATACTGTTCCTCTGCTTTTTCATAGCGGTTCAGTTAATTCCCTGAAAGGATGTTGTTTATATGAAAATCAACTAGATACAAATGTAGATACAAAGTGTGCTTTATAGGTGTTTGGGAATCCTGTCTTTTCTCTATGCAACCTATTTATTATTTATGATAGCTAATTCAGTAGGCTTCTCTATTCTACTTTTATGACCTTTAACCAAGTTAAAAAACCTTAGAGTGTAAGAATATTGGTTTTCCATGCTTTATGCTCCACCCCACTCCATGTTATATAGGAAAGCATTGCATTTAGTCATAGAATGAAGGTTGGAAGAGCAAATAATTTTTGCAGCTGGGCAATTAATGCTGTTTTTTTTTTTAATGACGGGTAGTTGACATACAATGTTATATTAGTTTCATGTGTATAGTTTAGTGAATTGACATTTGTATACATTGCAAACTGATCACCACTATTAGTCTAGTTACCCTCTATCATCTCGCAAAGTTAATACAATATAATTCAGTATATTCTCCATGTTGTACATTCTATCTCCATGACTTACTTATTTTATACTTGGCAGTTTGTGTTTCTTGATCCCTTTCATCCACTCCCCCATTTCTCCAAAACTCCTCTGACAACTTCTCATCTGTTCTCTGTATCTGTGTGTTTGGGTTTGTTTGTTTTGTTTATTTGTTTTGTTTTTAGGTTCCACATACAAGTGAAATAATGCAGTATTTGTCTTTCTCTGACTTATTTCACTTAGAATTATGCCTTCAAGGTCCATCCATGTTGTCACAAATGACAAGATTTCATTCTTTTTTATGGCTGAGTAGTATTCTGTTATATATATCTACCACATTGTCTTTATCCATTCATTCATTTTTTAAAGAATTTTTTTAATGTTTATTTATTTTTGAAGGTGAGAGACACAGAGTGTGAGTGGGGGAGGGGCAGAGAGAGAGGGAGACACAGAATCTGAAGCAGGCTCCAGGTTCTGAGCTGTCAGCACAGAGCCCGACGCGGGGCTCGAGCTCACAAACCGCTAGATTGTGACCTGAGCCGAAGCCGGACACTCAACCAACTGAGCCACCCAGGTGCCCCTATCCATTCATTCGTTGATGGGCATTTAAGCATTGTTTTCATATCTTAAAAAAAATTTTTTTAATGTTTGTTTTTGAGAGAGGGAGAGAGAGAGAGACTGTGAGCAGGGGAGGGGCAGAGATGGAGACACAGAACTCGAAGCAGGCTTCCAATCTCCGTGCTGTCAGCACAGCGCCTGACACAGGACTCAAACTCATGAACCATGAGATCATGACCTGAGCTGAAGTCAGGTCATGACTTCAAATAAGCCAAATAAGCCACCCAGGTGTCCCTGTTTTCATATCTTGGCAACTGTGAATAATGTGGCAATGAACATAGGGGTACATACATCTCCAATTAGTGTTTTTATTTTCTTCAGATAGATATCCAGTAATGGAATTGCTGGATCATATGGTGGTTTTATTTATAAATTTTTGAGGAAACTCCATACTGTTTTGCATTGTGGCTGAGCTAATTTATATCACTACCAACAATGCATGAAGTTTCCCTTTTTCTCACATCCTTGCCAACACTGAATTCTTGTCTTTTGGTAGTAGCCATCTGACAGATGTAAAATGATATCTCCTGTTGTTTTGATTAGCCTTTCCCTGATGATTAATGATGTTCAGCATCGTTTCATTTGCCTGTTGGCCATCTTTATGTCTTCATTGAAAAAATGTCTGTTCAACTCTTTTGCCCATTTCTTATTTGAGCTTTTCATTTTGTTTTGTTACTGAGTTGTAGGAATTCTTTATATATTTTGGATATTAAACCCTTACTAAATACATGATTTGCAAATACCTTCTTCTATTCAGTAGGTTGCCTTTTCATTCTGTTGGTTTCCTTCACTATTCAGAAGCTTGATGTAGTCTCATTTGTTTATTTTTGCTTTTGTTTCCCTTGCCTTTGGAGTCAGAAAAAATATCCCTAAGACTGATGTCAAGGAGCTTACTGTAAAGAAGTTTTCCTTTAGGAGTTTTGTGGTCTCACGTCTTATATTCAAGGCTTTAATTGA